TATATATAAAGGAAATTAGATTATATAAGAATATTGGATAGGTAATTCATAGAATATGCAAATAACATTTGGGTATTAAACTGTTAAAGAATTCCCAAACCACCAGAAGAAAAACTTAATATTGTTTAATGCGTATAAAAGCAAAGAAATCGTCAAATTTTAGAATTTTTTAAAAAAATATTACTCTGTAAATCCGCAAAAATTTACCAATGTCGACACTGACAGGAAGAGAATACAACAAAATTTCTAAAAACACACTTTACGTGACACAGGGAAAAAAAACAAAGAAAATCCATTTTACTAAAATATCTTTAGGGAAAAAAGAAGATAAAGTAAAAAAATGAAATAAAATTTTAAAAAATATCTTAAAATCTAACTAAAATAAATAAATAAATCGTACTTTCTCCGCTGTTATATATAACAGAGGGAAAGTATGATCCCCTCCACACCCTCGTGGTCTCGTGAGTCCAAAAAATGTAAAAATATTTGGGGGTCAAAAAATGACTCTCTAAAATTTTTACATTTTTGGACTCGAGGGACCACGAAACGTCGAGAAATGAAAAAAAATTGAGTGTTTTTTTCTGTATATATGGAGGGATGTTAGTGTGTGGGAGTACGATTTTGTTCACCCTGTTTGAAAGCTTAATAACTCGTGTGCCTTTTGTCGAAAATTTCTGAAACTTTGCAGGGAGGTTTGTCTATTAAGGTGATTGATGCTGTTAAATTTTCGTGGTTAAAGGTCAAGGGATTGGAGAGATAGAGGGGATCGCGTGTCATATCTCGAGTAGGGTCGGATTTAATGAAAAATTTACTTGTTATTATCATTTACAATTTTGTTTTTAAATATAAAACTCGTCTCTATCCTCAAAATTAAACTATTATAATAATTAATAATATAAAAAAATTTTAATCGAATATCATAACAGATGGAGCTACACATAATTTTCAATTTTTTGCCTGGAAAGTTAAGCAACTCTTGCTGGATTATTATTATCTTTTTCATTGGTTCTTAGGATTTATTATATAACATTTTAATAAAGTTTTAAATAATATAAGACTAAGATTTGATAATATAATAATTTAATGTTAAATAAAGTAAACAGAATTTATTAAAATTTCCGATTTTTAAGTTTATTATTTGATTAAAAATATTATTATTTTTAATATTTAATTTAATAAAAATGAAGAAAGTAATGTTTTTCTAAGCTGAAGTACTCGATTTTCATTACAGTATTATACAAAATATTGATTAAAATAATGTTTTTGTTATGAAGATATTAACAAAAATTTAATATCTACAAATATTATAAACATCAAAAGAAAATTCTTCTATTTAACTTCATTATAAGAACTTTAATCTCTGTGTTTTAATCATTAAATTAACCTTTTATATAAACATTTTTTTAAAATTTTTAATAAAATGCTTGTAAAATATTCGAGTTTTTTTTTTAATTTTTTAAGAAAAATATTCAGAAATTATTATTTTTTAAAAAAGTAGTTTCTTCTCTTCGATGGATCCTCATTAAAGGTTAGGTGTTCAGATTCCTCTGTTGAAAATACTATTGTAATTGTATTGTTAATGTCCATCAATGAGGAAAAAATGAATAAATTTCGTTAATTTTTATGTAAAATATCGACGAGAAGAGCAACAGGAAACTCTCACTAGTCGTAAACAATACGTTAATATCTTGTATACCTTGTGCATGCTAATGAATATTTTTAATTGTATTCAAAGGAAATTTGTATTCTGTTCATATTTTTTAGACGAAAAATAAAACATAATAAATAAATATTATTGAAAATTTTTAAATATTAAATTAAGCGGGTGATGTCTCGTATATAATTAACGTTACTGTATTAATAAATTTCGAGTATTTAAATATAGTAGATTTATAAATATCTAATGAAAGAAAAGATTAATTTATTCATATTTTATTCTATTTTTGATAATATAAAGTTATGCAAATTTAAGAATTTAGAAACAGGATTTACATGTTTTATTTAATTCGGGAGATGAATAATAGATTTATATTATTTTATTTCGATTATTTTTTAAGTGGAATTATTCAGGAATTGTTATTCTTGCAGGAACGAATAGTATTGATGTCAGTGAGAATGCAATCGGTCAAGGGCAATTCATTGATCAAGACTGCAACGATTTTTATCTTCAGTCATATACTTGTTCGAGGAAGTGAATAAAGTGAGTTAACTGACTTTTATCTTTATCCCTATTGTTCTCTACTTACATTTTATATAACAGTATTTAATTTCTACTGTTATTCATAGATATTACCTGTATACAATGTATTCGTTATAAAAATCAAACTATAACGAGCAATTATTTATTGTGACATCGTCACAATACCGGACTGCAAATTTTAATCATATTTTCAATTTATTTACTTTAAAATATATTCTTTCCATCTTAAATTAGTAGTGGCTTTCCCCTGTACATCATACTTTTCCTTTAACCATAGAGTCGTGCCAGTTATCTATCAAACACCTTTCAGGGGAAAATTCTTGAATTGAGACTTCCGGTCTAGACATTAAGTTCGTATATATATATAATCGAGACCTCCTGCCCCTCAGCTTTCCATATCTGGTTTTGACTTTTATCTAACTCCGTTCTCGAGATTAAGGACAGACAGACAGTGGAGAACAGTGGCAATTTATAGGTCTACAATTTTTTTTAAATTGCAGCCCAATAATTATAGAGTGTATAGTATAGTTTATATACTTATACCAGTTTATAGATCACAGTGTATTCTAACTCATAATACAGTGGCGCGTTATAGCTTCATGGAGCCCAGGCAAATTTGAATTAAGGACCCCACGTACAATGCTGTCTTCAGACGGTTTTGTTTGAGGGAATTTTTAGGGGATATATATTTTTTTCATAATAGATTGATTTGGGGCCTCGAACAACAGGGCCTCGAACAACAGGGGCCTCGAACAACAGTTTTGTCCATAGGATAACATGATACAGTGATCAGTATGCTAAAGATTACTTTTACCACTAACATTTATTTAAAAAAATACTATAGCCTCTAGTAAATATATTATTATCGTACAGATTACTGTAAATTCTAGCACATAATAGTCATACAGGTTGTACTGTACTTGATATATTAATAAATACAGTAATGTACACTAATTTCTGTAAATGTAATACTATAGTATAAATATAATTATTGCACAATACACCATTATAGAATTTATGTTGCGGTATTTTATACGAGTTTATTGTATATATACGGTATTGTACGAACTTAAGTATTGTATTTTCATGGGCTATTTTACATTATATTACGTTACGCTTTATATACATGGTGTATTTAAGATCGTTAATAATGCAGTCAATTTTTTACAAACCCATTTTAGTAGCCTGTTATACTCGAAAGGTTTTTATAAGGTATAAAATAGGTTTATTTATCAAATACGCAGATCACTAAATACTTAGGAGTATTGTTTTTCTATAGCATCAACCGTAACATGGGGAGATGGCTCATTTATAGATTTAAAGTATCGATTTGTATTCTTGTTTATTCGTAATCTATTAATATTTAATAGCATTAATTAAATACGTAACAAAATTTAGAAAATATTTTACGTTACTTTGAACAGATTAAATATAGAAACAATAATAAGATTATTAAGGTCATATAATATAGTAACCAATGTGAAATAATGTAAACAACATTTCTAAACAACAATGTAAACATTAAATGTTATATCCGAAGCGTTGAGGGGGATCCGAGATCGAATCCTGGAAGAACTCCATTATTAATTTTTCAAGGACGGTAAATCTCCTATGTGTTGAGCCCGTCTCAGCCGCCCCATGGTGGGTCTGACACCAATTAGTGGCCGATGGATAAACCACAATTGGTCGTGGGTTCGGGCCTCACCAACGGGCTGGTCACGCGGAGTTTTCCGGATTTTCTTCGCGTGCCTAGCATCCCCCTTAACAGATCGCTCGTGTATTGTAATACCTAATTCAACCAACTTACATTGTGGTCCGGTAGAACCCACGATGGACCTGGAAAATATGCGGCATAAACTTATTTCTCACAAAAATAATATAATAAATCTATCTCAATAATTATATTTATTTATTAAAGTATATATTTACGTTTGAATATTTGAAAATAACGGATTTATGACAATTGTTATATTATAAATAACATTAATTCCAATTCTATCAATTTATTTTAATCTTTAAAGGAATTTTATCAATTTATTCATGCATATTTCTCTAGAAATCTTCCCGACAAGGACATAAAAATGTAAAATTTAGCACTTTACGCCCTTCAAAAGTAATTGAATTTAGAATTTGTACGATCAACTGAATACATTTACATGATTGACATCTTTATGACAATCAGTACTTAGAGTCAGTAGGAAAATATTCTGAATTTTATACATCAAAAACGATCATTTTATACAGAGATTCCATTACAAATTTGATAGGAAATAAATTATTTTCTGCTTTTATAAACTTCCCTTTCAATCTAGTTCTTGTAAGTCATTGTATAACAACAATTTAGTAACTTGTTTCGGCTTACAACCGCAGATTTTGATAAATAACTTATATATAAAGGTATATATATCATATAAGAAGAGATACAATATATTCGTACGTCCCGAAAGTATAGACCTGTCTGGCAATTCTCTATATTCAGAATCAGATTGTGTTGGATAATCTTTAATTCCGATAAACCAACTCCCTTGAGTGTTTCCATTGGTGTTATCTGGAAACGGAAACATTATTTTATATAAGTTGATACATAGAGGATTTAGAACAATGTTAGAACGGGGAAACGTCAGATCGACTTTATATCAAAGATTTTTTGTTGACAGAAAATAACAGAGGATAAGAAAAGATATATTGTTTATGAAAGAAATCCTTTAGAAAAGCAAAAAAAGTTTATGTTGGATTTTATTTTATTATTACTCTACGATTTCTTTTCAACATTTAAAATTGTTTGTTTTTTTCGTAATCTACTCCTTAATTCCTTAAAATATTGTAGACCTATAAATTCCCACTGTCTATCTTTCCTTAATCTAGAGTACGGAGTAAGATGAGAGAAAATATGTAAACCTTAGGGGCAGGAAGCCCTGATTAACTATATATATACGAACTTCCAATCTAGGAAGTCACGTTATTTCAATTCAAAAATGTTCTATTGAAAGCTGTTAGATAGATGACTGGCACGACTCTATTGTTAAAGGAAAGTATGACGTACAGGGGTAAGCCACTATTAATTTGAGGTGGAGAGCGTATATTTTAAATGAAATAAATTGAAAATATGATTAAAAATTGTAGTCTGGCATTGTGATAATGTCACAATAAATAATTGCTAGTGATCTTTATCTTCCAACGAGTGTAAGTAGAACTTGCGTGAAAGTACAAGTTGAAAAAAGAAGGAATTTATGAACAAAATAGATGCCAAGTAAAAAAGTATACTTTTTTCTTTCAATTTACTTGGTAATCCTCTATTCAATGCTGTCTAGAGAGAGATTTAGCGGTGTAAATGCAACTAAATCTAGTATGGTGGCATTTCGGGACACGCGGAAGGCATTTTGATAAATAAACAATTAGTATCAAAACTCGCTACTGTGGGTGTTTGACGTTGCAAGCAACAAGCATTTCATCTGTACAAGACACTGTACTTTACAAAGACCATAGTAATGAAGGGGATATCCTACTACTCAATGTGGTTCCCTAATCTAAAAGTGTAAAACTTGAAAGCGATGAACAGTGTTCAACTGTAATTGATTCTACACGCAATATGGCACTCTTCTTCTAGGATAAACTACATTTTAAAGGGTTTTCAGAGATGCAACTGCTCTTTAATTGCTTGAATTGTCAAAAGTACAATAGTAGCGAATTTCGATACTATTTTCTTTATTATGGAAGTGTCTTCCGGATGACCAGTAATGAAATCATACCTGGTTTGGTTGCATTTGAACTGAATAATTTCAAGCCATTTTGTATGTCATTTCTTTCAATCACAATGCTCAAAATTCTATTGAAATAAATAGACCTTGGAAAAAATTTATCTATTATTATGAATATTTAAAATATAAATCTATCAATACATTAAGAAAAATTAGACTATATAAATTTTTATTCTGCATACCTACGTCTAAAATAATAAATTTTATTTAAATTTCGTTAGAAGTTTAATTAATTTAATTAAAAATTTTTAAAAATAAGTAAGTAAATAAATTCTAATGCAGTTTATTAAAGAGTTAATCCTATTTAATGACAGTATTAAAACTTCTATCTGAAGTTGTTATTATTCAAATGAAAGTAAAACATTTCAAATACTTACATTGCTTAGTCAATGTTATATTGAATACTTTAATAATTTCATGTTTATCTTCATTAGAATTACAAGAATTTCTTAAATGTAAATATACCATTTAATAATATGAATTTTCTCGACTCCAAGATAAATATTTATTCTACATTGTTTCCATATAAAATTCTCTATTTGTTCTAAAATTTATAAATTTTTTATATAATTTTCTCGAAGTATTTTCAGACTATCAATTGAAATATCGTATAACATATTAAAAACTTTTACTAATGGAGGACATATTGCTCTGAAAAGGAGGACGTTACGATGTGTACGAATAGGCTTGAATTAAAGAAAAATTAATTTAAAGAAATTAATATTTTACTAAGAAAATAGTGAATTAGTTTATTTTTTTTTTTAGATTTACTTAATTTTAACAGTAATTTTTATAAAGAAGAGGAATTTTTTTAAGTCCAAAATGGATGACGTGTCCTCCTTGCAGCGCAACAAAGACCTGGAAGACATTTCTGTAGGAAAGTGGTTCCTATTTAGGTGTTACAAACGTCTCTTGTAACCTTAAAATAATAATATTTTATACAAAATTTACATCTTCAGTTTAACCATTTACAAAATTAAATGTAACTATTCGAATTATTTTTAAATTTTAACATACAAGTAAAAACTAAATCAAAGTATTTCATCAAAATTCTACTAAAGTTTAAAGATAAATGAAAGTATGTCACATTTTATTTTCTAAAATTAAAGTTATATTCGAAATTAATGGAAATAAATCGTATTCTACAATAAATAACAAAGGGGAGGACGGAGAAAAAACCTCTTTTAACCAACGTAAAGATATATAGATTATATATAAAATAGAAAGCAATAACATAAAAGT